AACTTTCCTATCTGGCAAGTTCTGACTCGCCTTTCAAGACTCTTCTCCAATGGGACTTTCTTCCAGAAAACTTTCCAACCTTGAGCAAAATGAATGGCATATTGTAGTACATGTAGTACCCAGTACTTGCTTCGATTGTGGAACTTGGTAGACTGGACTGGAATTATTAGCTTACAGCCTCAACTCCCCTTGGTGTCCCAGAGAGGGTAGGGACTGCATCTTAGATATTGTACCCTGCAGCTTAGAGATTCTCAACAGCAGCACTATTGAGATTTGGGGCCAGAAGATTCCTTGTTTTGGGGGTTACTCTGAGCATTGTAGGATGTTTAGCAACACTCTCTCCTAAATGTGCATTATCAACTAAATAAATGCTAGTAGTAACCTACCTTCCAATGTGACAATTAGAAAAAAACGTCTCCAGACATCACTCAAGGCCTCCTGGCGGGCAATATCGTCCCTGGTCCAAAACCACCACCTTGTCCCTAACAGAGAGCCTGATATAGTCTAGCTATTTAGTGCATGTTTGCTGAGTTAATAAATCAATGACCAAATTAACAAATAAAAGGCAGAATGAATCAAATGAATAAAGACCTTACCGTAGCTTTTACACATGCATCGAGTCAATCTTGGAATCTTTATTCCTGCAGTTAAATCTCTTTAGGAACTGACCTTACTTTCTTGCTTTCTCTCATAGCCTTTGCTCCTTGCCTGTGGGCTCCTTCACATTCTCATGCCTTGTCTTCCTTTCTATCCGTCCAAATCCTGTACCTACTTCGAGACAAAGAACAACTTACCTACTTCAAAAAGCCTGCCCCAATTCACTTGTATACCTTCATAAATATACTATTTTGGGCCTTAGATCTATTTATCTTTTTATTTTACAAATGTGCATAGGTACTTTCTTCTTTTCTATTCCTTTGAGTCAGAGTCTTCTCACTCTGTCACCCAGGCTGAAGTGCAGTGGCATGCTCACGGCCACCGCAGCCTCTACCTGCTGGTTCAGGAGATCCTTCCACCTCAGCCTTCCAAGTAGCTGGAACTACAGGCACGTGCCACCACGCCCAGCTAATTTTTTGATTTATTGTAGAGACAAAGTCTCGCCATGTTGGCCAGGCTGGTCTCGAACCTGTGGACTCAGGGAATACTCTCGCCTCAGTCTCCCAAAGTCCTGGGATTACAGGCATGAGCCACCGAGCCTGGCTGGTACTTTCCTCTTAACGAGACGAATCGATCTTTGATGGAAGAAAGGGCTTATTCCTGTAAGTTTTTCCTTCGCCTTAACACTATCGCAAACTTTATGAACGAGTACATTTTTTCTGTTAATAACTGGCAGGTCTTTTAAATCTGTATCATTTGTGTGGAACTGACATAGTTTTAAGAGGCATAGGGCTCTTTTTTTTTTTTGAGTTGGAGTCTCACTCTGTTGCCCAAGCTCAAGTGCAGTGGCATGCTCACAGCCACCCCAGTGTCGACCTGCTGGGCTCAGGAGGTCCTTCTACCTCTGCTTCCAAGTAACCGGAACTACAGGTGTGTGCTACCACTCCTGGCTAATTTTTTGATTTATTGTAGATATGAGGTCTCACCAAGTTGCCCAGGCTGTTCTCAAACTCGTGGGCTCAGGCAATCCCCTCACCTCGGTCTCCCAAAGTGCTGGGGTTACAGGCTTGAGCCACCGCATCCAGCCTCTTTTTTTTTTTTTTTAAAGTAGGAGTCTCACTCTGTCGTCCGGGTTGGAGTACAGTGCCATGCTCATGGCCACCACAGCCTCAGCCTGCTGGGCTCAGGCAATCCTTCCACCTGAGCCTTCCAAGTAGCTTGGACTACAGGCATGTACCACCACGCGTGGCTAATTTTTTGATTTATCGTAGAGATGAGGTCTCACTAAATTCCCCAGGCTGGTCTTGAATCCCTGGACTCAGGCAATCCTCTTGCCTCTACCTCCCAAAATGCTGGGATTACAGGCACCACGTCTGGCCAGGGCTAACTCTTTAATACGCTGCAGTTGTTTTATAATTTCAAAGAAATTCTGCAAATCTGAATAAAAGTAATTCATAAGATTTTGAGACTTCTGTGAGAAGGCACTAAATATGATAAACAATGAGAAAGACAAGAATGGTCATGTTTTGTCTTAAATACTGATTGTGCTCAAAATCCACACAGGCTTCTTTCCCCATTGTTTGGTAAAACTATATTAGAAACTTCAACCTTTCTAGCTTATTCTGTGCCCTCTAAATATGCAAACACCCCCTGCACCTCTCCTCTACAGGCATATATGCAGTGACTTGAGATGCACTTTTTTCAGCTTGTGTTTGGAAATTTCCCCACATTTCTGTTCTATAGGACATTTCTTTCTCAAGTTGTTCTTGGAAGAGTTCACGCTTTGTTCATGTGTGCTCTCCTGTGGGGCTTTCTGATCCTCAGTGTTCCATGGCAGAGTTAAGGGAACAATCCCCTGAATTATCAGCATTGCATTTCATCTCCCCATCTTGTGACAGGATAAATACAGAGTAGGCATACTGTCATCGGGTACAGTGGGAAAAACATCTCAAGTTTCACCACTGACTTTTGCAAATTTTATTAAAAAGATCAAATAATGCATTTGTTCAAATTCTACAAATTTTATCTTGGGCAGACCAACCTCTTGAGGCTTCAGTCTCTTCTGAGTTCCAAAGGTCCAGGCTGTCCATTTAATCCCCTGTTGCACCTTTGTTGTACCTTCATTCACCCTCTCCTCCATGCCTACCTAGATCCTCCCATTTATAATGCAAACCAAAACACAGCTCTTGGTACTCCCTACACCTACAGTACCATCCCCTTGATTACTTTCACATCCTTACTTCACATTGACACTCAGCTCACCACTATCTGGCAATCTTGTAATATTCCCTTACTTTTTTTTTTTTTTGTTTTTGAGTGGGAGTCTCACTCTGTCGCCCAGACTGGAGTGCAGTGGCCGCTCCCGACCACCGCAGCCTCGACCTACTGGGCTCCGGCGATCCTTCCGCCTCAGCCTTCCAAGTAGCCGGAATTACAGGCATGCGCTACCATGTCCGGCTGATTTTTTTTTTTTTTATTTATTGTAGAGATGAGGTCTCACTGAGACCCGTGGGCTCAGGCAATCCACTCACCTCAGCCTCCCAAAGGCACGGGATAACAGGCTGAGCCATCGAGCCTGGCTCTTCCCTTACTTTTGAAAATGTATTCACTTTCTCGGGCTCTGAAGTCTCCCAATACTGCCATTTTATGGCTTTCTTGGTACTCCCACTCCCTTTACCCTGCTGCAGTCCTCAGTGTAGCTGACCTGCCTCTCTGTAGCTGTCTCCTACCTAGCTTAGCTTTCTAGCTCTTGAGTTTTCCCTATCCCATTATCTGTTCTTTCTCAAAACCCTTCAGTCTCATATCTCACTTTAGATGTAGGTCATTTCAGGAATCCACCTTCAACTTAATTTTTTCCCTTTAATAGTCCTATAGATGACTTTTAATAATGTCATATCTTCAAACATGAATTAAGTATCATGACACCAAGGGCTTCTCTATCATCTTCCTGAATTTCCAATCCAAGTTTTCAACTGACTCCAGGTTTGCTCTTACAAGCATCTCAAATGCATCATGTCCAAAACCCAGAGCAATTTCCTTCCTACTCCCATGGCTTGCTCCCTTGTTTGTCCATTTTTTTTTTTTTTGAGTCAGAGTCTTATTGTCATGTCATGATAATTTTAAATTTCCAGGTCTCAGTAACTTAGCAGGTGCTCAGTGAAGATATTGAATGAACAAATGAGCTAATTCCTAGAAATGGAAGATTGACTTACAATAAAAAAACAAATTCCCCACCTCCAATTTTTAAAAAATTATTTACTGCCTTCAACTCACAAATAATTATGTGCAATATTCTGCACTCCAGAAAGCATTTTGTGAGGCACACAGATGAGCACACACTGGCATGAATAGAGCAGTCAGGACCTAGCAGCAGACTAGTAGTCCTGCGGGAATATAGTCCTAGACTCTGTAGCCCTAACCCTTAGTGCTAGGAACTAGATGGACACCCGTCTTGATCAAGTCACACACTGACAGCATCAGCTGGATTTTTCAATTGTTACTTCCAAGTTTGCCAGTTCCTTCCAGTCCTTTTTCCAATTTTTACTTTTCATTTGCTTATGTATATGACCCCATTTTCCCCTACCTTCCAATATTATCACCCCCAAATATAAAATAATTGGGTTAAATAATCTCAATTAGAGTCAATACCCTAAACACATTTTCAAATTGTCCATGTAGGACCAATTAGATACTGTGATGATATCCTTGCTCGTTTTTTTTTGAGTCAGATTCTCACTCTGTCACCCAGGCTGGAGTGCAGTGGCATGCTCATGGCCACCACAGTCTAGAACTGCTGGGCTCAGGCAATCTTTCTGCCTCAGTCTCCTGAGTAGCTGGGACTACAGGCATGCATTACCATGCCTGGCTAATTGTTTTTATTTTAGAGATGAGGTCTTGCCAAGTCACCCAGGTTGGTCTCGAACCCTTGGACTCAGGCAATCCTCTCTCCTCCATCTCCCAAAGTGCTGGGATTACAGATGTGAGTCACCATGCCTGGCAGTTTGTGTGTGTGTGTGTGTGTGTGTGTGTGTGTGTGTGTGTGTGTGTGTGTAAGAGACAGGGTCTCACTCCATTACTCAGACTGGAGTACAGTGGAACAATCCTAGCTCATTGCAAACTGGACTTCCTGGACTCATGTGATCTCCTATCTCCGCCTCCCGAGCAGCTGGGACCACAGAAGTGCACTACCACACTTGGCTAATTATTTTATTTTTTTTAGAGACAAGGTCTCACTGTTTTGCTCAGGCTGGTCTCGAACACTTCAGTTCAAACAAATCATCTCACCTTGGCCTCCCAAAGTGCTAGGATTACAGGCATGAGCCACTGTGCCCGGTCAGCTCATTTCTTTTAAATGAATAAAACAGGCTTAAATGACAATAACTATGACAATATACACAACCATGTTTGCTTTAAAGTCTTTATTATCTGGAATATAAAAGACAGAGGTCCTCTAGGATATAACAGAGTTCTCTATGTGGAAACATTATTTTTTTACAAGTGAAAAAATAAATACCTCTTGGAATAAAGGCTTATATGCTAATATGTGCCATAAAAAAGTAGAGTTTTAATATTTGACAAAATGTCTGTGCAAAGAAACAAATGCATAAACACATTACTGCTACATTAAGGCAATATGAAAAGTATACTCGAAATCTCAGTAAAGTGACAGTGTAGGTTTCTAGCTTTACCTTAGCTAGTATTGCACCCGATAAGGTCATCTAGGTTTCCAACATCCCAGAAAACCTGCTAGCTGACCAGCTTCCAAAATGCCCAAGTGGGAGTAGAAAACATGTTTAATATAGAAACAAAAAGAACCAAAATCCCTCGGAAACATACAGAGAGGACAACCCAAAGTTAATACTTGAGCATTTACTTAAAAAAAACCCAAAACAAAAAACACTCCCCCAACACAAAAAAGGATATAATATCTAGATATCTACGATAAGGCTGTAAAAGGCTTGAGAGTTCAAGCAAAGCAACACCAAGCAGTGAAGCTGCAGTCGAGTGCTTGGGAGAAGTGACGAGCCACCCTCCTTTGTATACCACAAGACCCCCATCTCTCAGCAAACTCTGCTTTTCCTTCCCATCTCCCTTTTCAATCAGAAATAAAATATTCCATCAAGAGGCCCGAGGAGTGCTTGACTACTCCACAGCAGTCTTAGAACCAAAAGGCTTGAGGGGTAGGGGGTGGGGGAGTGACAAGGGATAGGAAGCCACCCACATTGAGTGATCTGCTTTCCACTAGCCGGACTAGTTTAAATCTCACAACATTGTTGTCAACTTTTTAAAAGCCACAGAGTTGATTTTTAAACCTATTTGCCCTCCAATCATCCTTGAACAAGTTATACAAACAGAAATGACATCAAATGACGACTATTACTTGAGAAAAATTTTCCTATTAAAAATGTTCGGAGCTCCATGACCATACAAAAAGAACCAAGTAAATTCTTAAAACTAATTTTTACAAAATCTGCTGCAGGTAGGAAACTTACCTCGGGATACATTAAGGAGACTTACAATATCATTTCCTAAAAGGTATCCATTTTTTGGCTATGTTGCCACTTAACTGACATCAAATATTTAACCTATTCCTTTACTTGATCATTAACAAAACAAAACAAAACAAAACAAAACAAAACAAAACAAAACAAAACAGTCTTAGGAATGTATCTGTGTCCCAGAGCTCTTCCTGGTCCCCACCACTGGAGTTGCTGATTCTATGCATGGATATGTTTTTGCAGTGAGGACTAGTTGTGTTCTGATTTTTCTTCCTTTATTATAAGCGTTGCATGGCAGATGGGTGTTGGAGTACTTATCTTCTCCACAATCTATAATTTTTATAGTTTATAATAGTGCAGTTCATGGAAACATGGCAGGTCCAATAAATGCACAGAAGATTAGATTACAGTTAGATTGAGAAGACTGGTGTGGGTTGGCAGATAGACATGCTGGACGTGCTCCACATGTGACCTGCAGACTGGACATGACTGCAAAAGAGAAGCCAACAGTGCTTGTTAGAATGAAAGCCTCAGGGGGGCTTGTGTCTCCTGCGCCCACCCTCAGTCCCTAGAGCTGCTGCTTTTCTACATAAGTTGTAATCACAGTGATTTCTGGCTTTTCATTGGTATAGAGCTTTGCCTTCTCATGAGTTTGAAAGTTTATACTTTACAAGGGCTTAAAAATAAATATTATGAAAAAGTATACACTGAAGGAAATTAATTAGGTTTTTACCCAAACGCAAAAGAAGGCACATTAAGCAATTACTAAAGACTTCTTTGTGCAAAATGTGGTCTCTACGTGTGTAGATTATAACACCCCAGGCAGTGATGCAGGAGACTCTTCCTGAAATTGTGTGTTCTTAGCTCAGCTGATTAACTCAGGTCAACATTACCGGGCTGATGCTCTATGGCCAGGGAGCATGGCTCTGTTCACAGACTCAGAGGACAGTTCTACATTCCTGGCCTGGTTTCTCAGCAAGCATGTGCCCTGAGCCCCCAGGGGATAGACAGGCATGAGGATCACAATATGTTGGTCATATATGTGGGCAGAAAAAGACAAGTCCATGACAGCTCTTGGGGAAATAACTCATGGTAGTAGCATGGTCTATTCTAAGGGCAAAGGTATCTTGAGGGCTCATTATCAGGGCTCATTATCTAGCCTGAAATTAGCTCTGAAATCAGCAGCTTCTGAAGGACTAGGTGTTATTTAGGGCTAATTTTACATAAGACCATAATGACATTTCGCAAACACTTCTGAAAAATGAAATTTAATTGAAAAAATTATTTTAAGAGGAAATGTAAAGTTCCTCTTCATGCAAGAATGCAAGTAAAGGAGAACAAATTATGTGAGTTATTTTTACTTTTTATGTTAATATTAAAATGAGATTGACCTGCTAATAAAACAGCCAATCCAGCTGGGTGCAGCGGCTCATGTCTGTAATCCCAGCACTTTGGGAGGCTGAGGTGAGAGGACTGTCTGAGCCCAGGGGTTTGAGGCCAGCCTGGGCAACTATAGAAAATACAAATAACTACAGGAAATAACTAGAGAAAATAATTTTTTTTTTTTTTGAGTTGGAATCTCACTCGGTCTCCCAGACTGGAGTGCAGTGGCCACTCCTGGGCACTGCAGCCTCAACCTGCTAGGCTCTGGCGATCCTTCCACCTCAGCCTTCCGAGTAGCTGGAATTAAAGGCGCACGCTAACCACGCCCGGCTAGTTTTTGGTTTATTGTAGAGACGAGGTCTCGCCAAGTTGCCCAGCAGGTTGAGGCTGCGGTGGCTGTGAGTGTGCCACTGCACTCTAGCCTGGGTGACAGAGTGAGACTCCAACTAAAACAAACAAAAACAAACAAAAAAAAATCCCCCTTCAGGCATATGCAGCAAAAAGGGGAAATTAATCACAAATAATCATAGAGTATACAACCCACCCAGTGGATAATTGAGAAGTATGCTTCTGTAGTATTTTAAGTAATAAAGACCACCCTCACAAGTGTCAGAAAATGGAAGGCAACACGAAATGTAAGGGGAAGTCTTGGATCAGACCTCAGGATGTCTGCATTCCAGTCCCCGGTTCAGATGTGTTACCCTCTGAATCTGAGCCTCATTTCCAGAACTTGAAAGCAGCCTATGATTTAGAGCAATTATGCTATTGCAAATAGTATGCTAATTCAAAATGTTTTCAAAGAGCAATACTTTTAAAGTCACAAAATACAAAGACCCTTTCCAGGTGAAGATGGGAATCCCCCACTGAGCCAGTACCTGGCCTCCACTCACTGTTAGGTGGAGGCACAGGGAGCCTGCAGGCAAAAGCAGGCCAGCTGCCACCCCTACCTGCAGCTGGGCAGCACAGCTCTCACAGCACACAGTGTGGCCGCAGGGGCAGAAGGTGGAGTTGATCTCCTTCTCGCAGCACACCATGCACAGCATGGCTTCCTTCAGCTTGCGCAGCTTCTCCTGCAGTGCCCGGGTCTGCTGGCAGCTGAGGCCCTCACAGCTGCTGCAGTTCATGCTGCTTTCTGAGGACTTCAGAGGCGAGTTTGGAGGGCTCTGGTCGCTTCTCGAAACAAGGTCCACAACGCCGGCATTGTACAGAGCCCTCCTTGCATGGTCATACACCTCCTTTGATGTTCTTTTAATATCGAAGACATACTTCTTGCCAAGGTTAATGTTTTCATTCAGAAACAGAGATGCCAGGTGGCCTTTCAAGTCACGACTATACTGCATCATGACCGCGCTGGTCACTGTGTCACACCTGCAAGGCAAGATTGAGCATCTACTTTAACACCGAGCCTAGGCAGCTCTATAGTTCACTGATGTCAGTAAGAATAGTCACATCATCAGACATTTAATATTCTTGTCTGCATATGTGAAAATAAATTCTTTCAGTTTTACGTGTGTAAAGAGCTCAATGATTCCACCTTCAGTGTCTCCAAAGTATCTCGGATGAAGCAGCTGTATGAATGGAGGATGGTGAGCATGCACCTCCTCCTCCAGGCTGTGAGCTGCAGCATCCAAATCAGCTTACGGAAGAAGGAGGACATTTTTCTTTGAAGTCTTGGCTTTTGTGTTAAAAATATCTTTCAATTTTCCATCTTGTTTCCACAATTTATCTATTTTAACATTAAAAAAATGTAAAGTTGCCTTCCAAATAAATTTCTTAACTTTAATTTTCCAAATATTCGAGTCCAATCACAACTTGGCTTAAAGTAGCCTCTGGAATGAGGGAATCAGTAATGTTATTTTTAAAAAATCCTGATTTATTCCTATAAAATCATTCTCATATGCAGTAAGGATTCAGGATAGTAGCTCTGCCAGAAAGAAAAGATGACCTATGTCATCTTTCTGCTGAAAAGGGGCATGCAGCAGTGGACCCCTCCAAGGCCCAACCACTCAGGGTTATCTTTCAGGGGAGGCAGTGGTAAAAGAAAATACGGTAAGAGATAAGCAGGGGAATGTGTTTGTGTAGCTCACACACATGTACTTTCTGTGGGTAGCACAGGAGTGTGTTGATAAGGGCTCCACTGCTACTGCAGAGACAAAATGTTCAAAAGCAGTCCATTTCTTAAATTCGGTACTAGACTCACTAACACAATACAAGAAACTGTGGAAATCTTGTTGTCATCTAAACTCTCAGGGTTGCAATGCTGAGGTTATCAAGTAAATAATAATACGTGCCTGTAGAAAGCATGCGTTTCAGTTATTGCTCGGTAGAGGCCACTGGCCGCCCTGGTGCTGATCATTTTAAACAAAAGCACGATGCTGTTCCCAGACTCCTTGGTGACCGTCAAGTATACATTCTTTCCTGATTGGGTGGCCATCTGCACCACAGGATAAGCTATCCTAAAACATGGAAGAGAAAGGTGAGCTAGCCCAGAAAGAGCGATTTGTCACAATACATGTACCTTTGTAGGATTCCCGTTAGCTTATGACCCAGCAGAAAAAGCAGACACCTCATCTGGGGCTATCCTATCACCACGATGCTCCCTAGTTACACAGGCATGCTGAAAAGCAGTGGTGTATATGTGAAGAAGAGTGTGGGACAAGCTTTGGGGGTGTGCACATGTGTGTGTAGTGGTAAAAACAAGACTTTCATGGCAGTGAATGACTTATTTGAAAAAGATCAACTCTGTCACACTGTATACTTAGATGGGCATTTTAAAAATAATTAAATGAATAAAGTTAATAAACATAAAATGAAACCTTTTATTCCTAAGAGAGGACTGTCTCCCTCTCCATTTTCTATTTTCATGTTGAGTACCATAGGTGTATACACATGCTTAGGTAAACAAAACGTAAGCCTTGGCTTACCTATTAATTGGGCTAAAGTCATCTTTACAAATTGAGATTCCTTCAGGTCCAACCCCAATGAGGAGTTTTTGCCCTTCGCTGTCCCTCACAGAATGCCATTCTATGCCATAGTTTTCCATCGCTGACACAATCTGCAAAACCTGGTATTCAGCTGAAGCCTGGCTGGTCCCTTCTAACTCCTTATGCTTTGCAACAATGCTGTAGGACACCAAAAGGGCAGAGAATGAGATAGAGAGATTAACTTATACAGTTTTTAGAGATAAATCTATATAATTTTCACTAGCCAATTATACCATCATTTATGAATCACAACTTAAAGCCATATATTGTTGATGTTTCATTTATTTAACGAACTTATTATAAAAACTTCTAAGACACTGCTCAAGATTTTGACTAATAAATATTCAGTAGAAAACACGTTGGGGATGAATTTAAAGAATTATGAAAATCTCTAAAATATATATATGACAAATTTATATGTTGGAACTTCTCATGCATTTGTCTACATATACTTTATAAGTTTTATTATGATGTAATATTATAAGGAATTGATTAGATCACTTACAACTAAGAAAATATAGGATTTATTTTCCCTATTGTGGAAGACAACCTCTAATATGGTCCTTGATGACCCTGCCTCTTGGTACTCATGTCCTTGTGTAATTTCTTTCCCTTGAGTGTGGGCTGAACTGATGACTTGCTTCTAATAAACAGAATATGGCAGAAGTCAAGGTTGCTACTCACTTCTGAGATTAAGTTATAAAAAGACTATGACCTTCATTTGGGGTGTTTTCTCTTGCTTTGACTTGATCAGTCCCCTAGGGGAAGCCAGCTACCCCATTGTGAAACAGCCCTGAGGCCCATGTGGCAAGAACAGAGGGCTGGCCAACAAACCACAAGTCAACTTGGAAGTAGATCCTTTCCTCAGTTGAGCCTTCAGATGAGACTTAGCTCCACTAACAGCTTGACTAAAGTCTCATGGGCCAGAGGACCCAGCTAAGCCATGGTCTAATACCTGACCTATAGAACTGTGATATGATGTTTTAAGCCATTAAGTTTTAGGGTAACTTGTTATGCAGGAATAGATAACTAAGATACCTATGTTAGGCCTCTTGATTTTTTTTTTTTTTTTTTTTGTAGTTGGAGTCTCACTCTGTCACCCAGGTTGGAGTGCAGTGATATGCTCATGGCCACCCCAGTGTTGACCTACTGGGCTCAGGCAATCCTTCTGCCTCAGCCTTCCAAGTAGCCAGAACTATAGGTGCACGCTACCACGCCTGGTTAATTTTTTGTTTTATCGTAGAGATGAGGTCTCACCAAGTTGCCCAGGCTGTTCTTAAACCCATGGGCTCAGGCAATCCCCTCACCTCGGCCTCCCAAAGTGCTGGGACTACAGGCTTGAGCCACTACACCTGGCCAGACCTCTTGATTTAATTCTTGTTGGGATGAAGAAAACATCAATATATAATAATAGACGTTTTATTTTAGAAGACCTGTATTCTTAAAAGGTCAGAGACTTTAAAAATCCTTGTTACACAGCATTTCATATAAGGATATTTATTTACACGGACTATGTTTTACAAGTTTCTCAAATAAAAAGCTAATGAATCTTTTAAAAATAACTGGTTAGCCCACTCTTAACCTCACAAATTGTATGTACCAGAAATTTGTTTTCTTCTGGAAACACTTATACATATCATAGTTCTATCAATATAAACGTAACCCTGACCGCAATCTCACCTGTTCAAGGCGGCACAGGTGAGCTCCTTGGCACACAGCTCCTCATAGCTATATTTGGCAGTGTTCTGGTTGTAGTCTCCAAATTTGGTCTGAGCCAGGAGGGCGCTGAGTTCCACTGCCTGCTCTGGGGAACACAGGAGATGGCCAGCCAAGAGGGCCTCCTTAATGTGCAAGAAGAAGATATGCCTGCAAAGCAAGGAGAGAATGAGGTTATGCTTGTGGATAGCTTCAAACCTCAAACGCAGCCTGCTCAGCAACTTCACAGTCACTTTGAAGTAAGAAAAGCAGAGCAATTTTAAAAGTCACACCCAAAATGCTTAACATTAAAGAATCCTTTTTTTGTTATTAGTATTAAGACAAAATAAGAATAAGGAGTAGGTTTCTCTGGAATAAAAATTATGACCCAAACAAACCTAATTAAGGTTTAGTAACATTAAGGATACAAAATATTAAATAATTATACACAAGTTTCTGCATTCTCATGTTTTAAAATAACTTATCCTAATCAGTAAAAATTTTACCTCAACATAGATCCTGATATAATCTTAAGGAACTCTAATTCCAGCACTTTGGGAGGCTGAGGTTAGTGGACTGCCTAAGCCCATGGGTTCAAGACCAGCCTGGGCAACTTGGCGAGACCTTGTTTCTACAATAAATAAAAAATTAGCCAGGCATGGTAGCACATGCCTGCAGTTCCGGCTACTTGGAAGGCTGAGGCAGAAAGATCGCTGGAGCTCAGCAGGTCGAGGCTTCGGTGGTCGTGAGCATGTCACTGCACTCCAGCCTGGATGACGGGGTGAGATTCCAACTCAAAAAAAAAATAAGTCCCCCAAATCTCTAGTATCAGCGACAGCTTCACTCCTAAGAATCACACTCAGATACCCCCTAGAGACTTCACCACCTGATATTCTTTCAAACTGCAACTTCAGCTCATTCAAAACAAAACTCAGTGTCTTGTTTTCCAAATCCACTTATTTTCCCAATGGGAACTGTAGACTCACTTTTGACCCTTCATCCTATTGCATCTACTTTCTCGCCTCTGAAAACACTTTAAATCCAGTGCCTCTCTTCTTATTTGTATCTCCTCAGTACGACTAGCAGCAAGAATTTACACTATTCTCTGAGCTGCTCTCTTCCTTTAGACTCTGTACCTGCGGTTCACCTTCCAAGCTGTTGGCTTCTAGTACAAACTTGTCATTTCTTGGCTCAAAATCTTTCAAGGGATTCCCAGCGTTTGCCAAGGAAGCAGGTTGTTAGCAAGGATCCGAGGGTTCTCCACCATCTGGCCCCCACTTTCCATCAGTCACATCTCCTGACATTCCCTCCAGCTGCCATGCTCCAGGAGAGGAACAATTCTGCTCCCTGGAAAATCTAGGAAGCATGCTCATGCCTTTGTGTCTCTGGTCTTCCAGCTCCCTCTGTCCTAATGGCCATTCTTTCTGCCCCTTTGCTTGAATATCCTTGAGTCTGCATCACATGCAAACCTTCTAGTCCTCTATAATAGTATTGGACATAACATGTATAACTGTTACATGGAAGCTGATTTCTTCAGTTCCATGAACATCAGAAAGCTCCATAAATGTATGTAAAACTGCATATTATCTGCAATTAATTTATATTCCAACATTAGTTTCATTCTGTCTGAGTCTTTCCTAACAGAATACAATACTATACCCTACACTTACTAAAAAGTGTGTCACGTTTAGAAACTCCTCGTGGCTCGTGGTTGTAATCCCAGCACTTTGGGAGACAGAGGTGAGAGGACTCCCTGAGTCCAGGGGTTCGAGACTAGCCTGGCCAACATGGTGAGATTTCATCTCTATAATAAACAAAAAAAATTAGCCGGGTGTAGTGGTGCATGGGTGTAGTCCCAGCTACTTGGAAGGCTGAGGCTGAAGGATCACCTGAGCCCAGCAGGTCGAGGCTTCACCATGCCACTGCATTCCAGCCTGGGTGACAGGACTCTGACTCAAAAATAAACAAAAAATATATAACAGGGGCTACATTGAGTCTCAAAGTGCCAAGCTGACAAGAGTCATATTTTATTGAAATAAGAAATGTTTAAATTCAATGTTTTGTGCCTTCTATAATGATAAATAAATATTTAAAATTATCAAACTCTGCCAAATACTGCAATTTTTCTTTATTCAAGGCCCCTATAAAGAAATCACAGTAAGAATGTGTAATAGCCTGAAAGAAGATAAACATGGTTTTTATTAACCCAAACATCTGCTGTCTTTAAAGTATTTCTGACATACTGCTAAACTGAGAAGGGATCCCCCAATGGGGCAAAGAAATCATCACAAAAATAACTTGTTTTAAAATAGCCATCTGAGGATGGGGAGCTAGTATTCTCAGAAAGCCGTGGTGTAGCAACACTGCTTCAGGCCTCAAAAAACTAAAAAGATGGACATTTGGTTAACTTCATCTTGGTGAACAGACCTACGTCTCTGTAGTCAATCAGGTAGTGTGTTGTCAGAAAACTAAAATCTGAATCTAGGCTTATATTAAAGAAGAAATTATGTGCTGAAGGATTTTAAGGATATACTGCCACAAACCTAGTCGTCTCAATTTCATTACTGCTTATGTAAAAGTTTCTTTTAACTTATTTTCCAAGTACAAAGTTACAGACTAGTTCCTGCTTTATTAAACAGTAAGTATGGCCTGCAAAATAAAAGTTTTGAAATAGATTCAATTTTTTCCAAGCTATCCATGTTAGCTTCTGGAGAGACAGCTGCTAAAACCAAAGGCAAAGCAGCAGTAATAAAATGTAAACAGGTGGGCAGAAGTCTGAGAGTGATGCTGATCCTCTCTCAGCATGTGGGTCAGAATTTACAAAAAGGTCAGTAGTGGGATGACTGACCTTTTCCACATACTCCACATTCTAGGCCAGGCTACAGACAGTACCCAGTAAGCATGAAAAATCCTCTTCCTTACTGTTTACATCAACTTTCTGAGAGGCCCTTCCCGCATTTTGCAGTTTGATGGCCATAAAGCAGCCTCTTCGTTGTGCCAGCCCTAAGCTGGGGTTATAGGGTGAACATGTCTGATAGTTCCTTTATGGATGGAACTTACAGCCTTTTAGAGTGAGGGGACATATCCTATCAAAATATCTCTAGCCACAAGCTGGCTTTTGGGTGTCAAGTTTATGCTCTTGGGGAGAACAGCACAAAGGAGTACTGGTAGCCAAGGCCACTAGTTATGATGAGCTATCAGTGGACTCCAATATGCTCGATTCAGAGAGAGGATGGTGGAGTTCAGAGACACATTTCCAACAAGGAATTCAGTGGTGGCCCAATATTTATGGATGGTTTTGAATCAAATATTTTCTCCTATCATTTTCCCCTTTTACCATCTGGACTGAAATTGTCTGGCTCCTGGATTTTGACCCCTGCTTCTTTTGTAAAGTAAGTGAAAGGTTACCAATATTATCAAAACAAGCAGATATAGCCAAAGAAGCTGTGCCTACAGTGAATTCTTTTTTTTACTAAAGATCAAAAGTGGATGGCATCTAATTCAATATACACTACAATCCAGAATCACAAACAGAAAGAAAGCTTTTTGGAAAAAAAATTTGGATGTATTGTGAATACATCCTATAGGCATGAGCTCAATCTGCATTTTCTAAACATTTTTGGGGTTAGACCTCGAAATTCATGATTTTTCTTTAAGTTTTACCCAGTCACTAAGAAAATCAGTATTTTCAATATATAGATCACATTTTGGGGTCCAAGGTGAAACATTCTGGCTAACTCATGCCCTGGTATCTGGGGTACAAATGAATTCACACTGCAGCATTATGGGAAGATTTTTAAAAATTGGGTAAAAGACATGCCAAATTTTAATATTAAAGAAAAAAAACTAATATTCTTAATATAGTGTTTGTTTCAAAGTACTTCAAATTTCCTTTTAAAAATTAATTCCTTTTTATAGTGTTAAAGAATGAAGTTGGATCATCTATCTTTTAAGAGTTGCAATCAGAGAACTCTCCTCTAAATACAGGCTTGTTTCATAAAGCAATCATCTATAATCAAACAGACTTTCTGCAAGCCAATAGGGAGTGGCTGAACTAGTCGTCATGGAGAGTTACTCTCAGGTATTGCCCTCCAGTTATCTTACCAGTTATACCATTTTGAAGAGCTTTTCATGACAATGGTAAAACAACTATATCCAGGTTCACTATTAAACTCAAGATTTAAGTAACTAACCTGCAACACCTTTAAAATGGCTAAGTAGTTATTTTTAAAAACTCTTAATTACCAATAATTGAGCTGTATTTCTCCCAGAAAGGCATGACTGACCCTGACTACGGGGAGTAATGGCTGGTTTGTCCCTCAACTCGTCAGACACCCACTGTGATCATCAGTAAGCCAGCTTCAGCCCAAATGAGTCACTAAACCACATCAGTTTATTTTGAATCAAACTCTGACTGCCAAGCTTTATTTTAAAACTATCAAATCAAAATAGAATTGCTCTAAGAGTTTTCTGTTTTGTGTCTTAGATTCCAGTAAAACAAAATCAGTTCAAGATGGATCATAGGCCTAAATGTAAAAGCTAAAACCATAATGCCTTAAAAAGTAAACACAAGAGTATCTCCATGATTGGGTATATCCAAGATTTCTCAGGATGCAGTCAGCAAAAAAACCAAAAAAGAAAAAAAATGGATAAATTAGGCTTCACCAAATTAAAAACTTCTACTTACAAAATGCATCAGAGAAGTAGTCAAGCCACAGGAGGAAGCATATTTACAGAATACATTTGACAAAGGACTGGTATCTAGGATATATAAAGAATTTCTACGACTGAAAAGAAAAGGCAAACAATAAAAGTTGGTAAATGAATAGACACAAGAAGTCAGTGGAAGGCCAATAAGCACATGAAAAAGTGTTTAACATTAAATGTCAGAGAAATGCAAGTTAAAACCACAACATTCTATACTACACACCCACTAGAAGGCCAGCAAGGGTGTGGAGGAATTGGACTCGCTTACATGTTTGATGAGAGTACAGAATAGCATAATAGCTTTGAAAGGACGTCTGGCAGTTTCTTATAAAATTAAACAATTACCTACTCTATGACCCAGTGGTTCCATTCTCAGGTATTTACTCAAGAGAAATGGAAACTTATGTCTATAAAAAAAAAAAGACTTGTACTATAATGTTCACAGCAGTTTTATTCATAATAGC